GTACATGCGTACATACATCTGCACTCATGGCTGGCCTGCGAAGATCCGAACAACCGGTAAGCGCCCCAAGCACTTCGTCCGCGCGACAGGGTGCAAGTTTCGTTTCGTGGTCCAAATGGTGGAGGAGGGGTGTGTGTGGGTGCTTCGAGTACAGAATGGCCTTTACCAGCACAACCACGCAGTAGCCGCCGAGCATTTCTTGACGTACGCAGAGAATCGAAAGGTTGGTTGTGCGGACACAAAGGACGCTGTCATTACTATGGTTAATCATGGACGCAAACGCGCCCGCATCTACGAGTATCTTCTCGCGAGAGGAGAGCACTTGGTTAAGAAAGACGTGGACAACTTGGTCCAGCGTTTTAAGAGCGAGGGTCGTGGTGGGATTGACGATGACGATGCTGTAGCGCAGGCTCTCGCTGTATTTGCCGCACAAGATGGTAACGTTGTTACGGTGGATGAGACTGACGCGGGTCACTCCGGAGTAATGAGCATGACGTCTCGCCACCAGCGGGAGATGATCACGCGCTTTCCGGAGCTTTGGCTGGTAGATTGCACCCACAGGACCAATCGGTACGTGTATTGTCCATGTATTATACTTGTTTTATTATTATTTGGTCCAAGTATTGGACCAAATAAATCTACATGTGTACTCCTTGATTAACGAGTTCTGTTCTTTAGGTACAATTACCAGCTGTGTACTTTGATGGCAATCGATGACAAGGGTCGAGGGCAGCCTGTACAGCAATCACTACTAGAACGAAATGCTGACTGGCATATGTCGCGTGCTTTGGATCATTTACTCCGAGTGGATCCTGCTATTACTGACAATGTCCAGGTTCTCATGGTTGACAAAGACCTGAATGAGATCCGAGTTCTTCGCACCTACTTTCCTAACGCCCGAGTTCTCATATGCTTCTTTCACGTTATCAAATATCTTCGCACTGCTTCGCGGAAGCCCGAATATGGCAAGATATCGTCCGACGACCATGATGCCATAGACACGTTAGTGCATAATATGGTGTATGCAGTAAGTGAGGAAGTCTACCAGAACAATTGGAGATCGATGAAGACCCACTGTACCAGAACTGGGTTCACCTCGTTTTACGAATACATGGACGAGAACTGGAACAAGTGCACGGACATGTGGGTTATGTATAAGCGCGCTCGGTTGGCGCACTTACGCGTGCATACCAACAATCATTTGGAAACCTGGTTTGGTCACTTCAAGGATGCTGTACATCACAATATGACCATGACCGATACGGTGAAGGCGCTGAAGGCAGCTGATGACAGGACTCGCAGTGAGTACGTGTTTGACAAGACCCGTATCGGTGTTCTTGTAAACCGAAATTACGATGAGGAGATGAGCCAAGTTCTAAAGTTTACGTCCCACTTCGTCGCGGAACACGTGGGAAAGGAGTATGTTATGGCTATCTCGAAGGTGGATATTTTCAAGTTCGACACGAAATCGAAACCGGGTTTTGTGGCGGTCACCGGGAAACACAAGGTACATTTCGCTCAACTAGATACGTGGAACTGCACCTGTTCGTTTGCATGTGCCATGAGACTGCCGTGCCAGCACGCCATCTCGTACCGAAAGTGGAGTGAAATAGGTGGATCCATCATCCCGCTGAATAGGATCGATGAAAGGTGAGTTGTTTTCTCGATTCATCTGTGATTAATCTAAGATTCAACCATGATGTATGTATGAATGATACATGATTCGTCCATGTATCATTCATGATTCGACCGGGATACACTAACAAAACCTGTGTTGTAATATATATGAGCAGGTGGCTGCATCCGGTGGACCAGTCCGTGACCCCTCGACCTTTTGTGGTCTCAGCGTACCGATACTCAATGAAACCGCGTTTTACCTCCTCCCGATGAAATTGCTGCAGAAGTGCGTCTCCGCGTTGCCTGTGAAGAATACGCCTGATACTGCGATTTCGGTCTTCTCTCAGAGTCAGTCTACACAAGACAGCCAGTCAACACAAGATAAGGAACTTGGAGAACACACATCTGGACAAAGCATGGATAATCCTGGACAAAACATGGATAATCCTAGACAAAACATGGATAATCGTGGACAAACCCCAGATATTGAATGTGTGGAAATCACTGGAATTGGTATCTTCTCACGAGCACAGATAGAAGCGATGCTTTACCTGACTACCATGAAGAATCAATGCGAGCAAGGGCTCGCATTATGCAAGTGGCTGATGGAGGATGTCGTCAGTGTTGTAGGAAGTGCACTACATCCAACGCTACAGGAGATGACAGATCAAGTTGCGCGCTCAAATCCCCAAGACATTATCCAAATTGAAGGTCATGAATATCACTACGCTATGCTATTCCGTATGAAGCCCCCTTCCTGGGCAAATGACGCCCTGATTCTCGCATTCTGCGCCAGACTTTGTGCAACTAATTCAACGGCTTATGTAGTTGGGATCGAGAATGCTGTGACGGGAAGGAAAATGAAGACATTTACAGAAACGATCAAGGCAAAGGCACAAATGCTGAAGAGTTGTGCCGAGACTCTGTTCATCCCAGTCAACTTCGGGAACACACACTGGTGTGGTATCATTGTGGACGTCAAGGGAAACCAAGTAATGTACTACGACCCCATGAACCAAAAGTCTTACAACAGCGTACTGGACCGAATGTCGTGGGATTTGGCCGAAACGCTGAGCGATGCCTACCAGGTACTGGCTATCAACTCGCCAATCCAAACAGACGGTCATAACTGTGGCTTCTACGTCATGCTCAGGTTTTGGCGTTACGTCGACAAAAGTATCTTGTTGGACTTGACCCAGACTGGTCTCACGCTACTGCGGTTCCGTATCCTACAATTCCTGCTAAAGGGTAGCATTTCAAACTAACTCACTCAATCGAATTCGTTTTTACTCTATCAATTTGATCTATGTCTACCCGTACCTGTGTGCACTATGTCTACCCGTACCTGTGTGCACTATGTCTACCCGTACTTGTGTGCACTATGTTTACCTGTACAATACATGGAACGGTACATGGATCGAACATGGATTAGTCGTTATTTCTCACTATCGAGGCAAAGACATTCGCTTCAGCATCGATCCGAATCACTTCATCTTAATATGAATTTTAATTTACCAGATCGGTAATTTACTTGGACTGTAGCATCGTCCAATATTTATCAATGTTCATCCCTGCATCCAAACAAATCGTTTAGACCAATCCGAAGCAACGCCGAAAATCAAAGCTACTTCAACCGGCTGCCGGGCTCTATAAGTAAGTCATTCCGTAGGTCTCTGCCCCACGATCAAGTGCCTGCCATGCTGCGTCTCCGTCACCTCCATCCCTCTCTGCTCGACTCCGCGTCCCGACGCGCGCTGTCCTCAGACCCCACGCACGCTTGCCGCAAGATCCTTGTGGCCAACCGCGGCGAAA